ACCAAAGTTAACCAAGAAGTTAAGTTTAACTATCATAAGGGGTCATCCATTATTTACGTGAGACAATTTTGGCGATTTTTCGACTCCCCCCTCCCCTTGGTGAGATGTCGTGAGATTTTGCTCGACCCCCCTCCCCCCTACCTTAATCTCACGTGAGATTTTTTAAAATGCATGGTTTTAATGTAAATAAGTTAATCTGTGATCTGTGAAAAAAACAATTTTCTTATAATTGTTAACTTAATTTAACCCGTTTTTCTCGCAATTTTACACTGTTTAATTCGAAAAGAAAAAATTACGTGATATTTGCCGAGAGCACCCTCCTCCACGTGAGATTGGGTGAGGTTTGGCTTGACCCCCTTCCCCCCCTAAACACCTCACGTAATTAATGGATGCCCCCTAACGTTAATTTTATCATAATTAAATTGCCCACTTATTACAAAATAACGTTAATTTAAACAGTGGTGCTACTTGGGTAGTAAGTATTTTAAAAATGTAAAACAGCTTTAATTCCCTGTAGTTTTATGTAAGGCGTTATTACAAAGGAAGCCGCTGTTTTAAAAAATAATAAAAACAGTAAAGAATATTCGGTGCTCTACCGTTCTCATAATTGTATATAGTTTATTTGCTTTATTTTTTGGAAAAATAAAGTTGGTTGGGGACAATGCGCCTATTTTTTTGTGGCGCCTAAGGGGTAATATGGCCCTGATCTGATTGTTAATCCAGCCCAAGAAAAAAAGGTTTATTTAGAAACTAAATTAATCTTAATTAAAGGTTCATTAAACAATTTAAGAAAATATATTAATATCAAAAATATAGCTTTAAACAGAAACAAAAAACAAAAAAAGATTTTTATATAAAAAAAAGCTTTTTACAAAAGCTTCGCAAATATTAACTTTTTTAAAGCAGATTTAAAAGGTTTTATTTTTAGAGTTTTAAGATGTTTTGGTAGGTTATTTTATACAGCATAAACACTATATGAAAAAGATCGTCTAAATATTGCTGTTTTGTGAGCAGGTGGGAATATTAGGTCTTTAAATCTTAAATTTAGGTTATGAACGTCGGTACGGTACTGAATTTTTCTATTCAAATATGGTGGTATTTTAGTTGTTATTATGGAGTGAAACAGTGTTTTCGAATGAAGTGTTCGTCTTTCTTTCATATTTAACCATCTTGCGTCTAAGAATTTGTAAGATATTGCATCAAATTTTCTTATACCAAAAATATATCTTAAACATGATTTTTGAATGAATTGAATTCGAGTATCTAGACAGGGACCATAAAGTACATCACCATAATTGAAATAGCTAAGAACCAAAGTGTCAGTTAATCTAATTTTAAGCTCTTGTTATAACAGTACCTACAGTAGATTAAAAATTCTTTATTCTCACCGTTAAACATTATAATGTTTGACAGTGAGAATAAAGAATTTTTAATCTACTGTAGGTAGGTAGGTAGGCTCTTTTTAGATAATTGGTAACATAATTGTCAAATCGTAGATCACAGTCAATTGCGATTCCCAAGTTCTTAGCCACTTTACTGGTTGTCAGATCATTGCCAACGATTTGTATTTTAATTAAGTTTGAGATCACATGCCTTTGTCTACCAAATATGAGAACTGAGGATTTTAGTGAATTAATACATAATTGATGTTTTTTGGATACTTTAACTTAAATGCTTAGGTCGTCATTTATGTGAGAGTTAGCCAGAAGTCAATTTTTAGGTTAGATAAATCTTTTCTCTTTAAAGTTATGTTATGAAAAAATTCAATAGCATAAAATGCGGCTAAGATATAAATATTTAAAAAAAAATAATCGTTTACGTGTATTTTAAATGGGAAATATTTATACGCTTTGGTAGAGTACTTTAAGTTAATATTAAATTTTCAGGGAATATTTTTTTGAACATTTTCAACAAGATTTTGAGTTGGAGGCCAAAAAATAAAATTAGTCGTGAAAAAAAGCACCCTAATATATATATATATATCAGTGATGTAATGTATCGAGATACATGTATCTAGATACTGGATCTAGATACATTTTATGTACCTAGATACGTATCGAGATACTTAAGAAAATCAGGATCTACTTTAGTATCTAGATCCTTTTGAAAGTATCTAGATCCTTAGATACAAGATACATTTTATTTTACCCAACCTGATTGCAACTCCACACCGTGTGGGCCACACGGAAAATGAACATCCAATGGATATACTCTATGGATATCCAGGATATATACCTACATTGGATATTTTTTATATCTCCCGTAAGGGATGAACAATACGAAAACCGTAGTGCTGTGTATAGACTCCCGTACCCTAATCTATAAACTGAACTACTGTTTTCGTATTGTTCATCTTTCACGGGAGGAAGGAAAGAAGGAAGGAAGGCAATCTATAAATCCGGCTTAACGCTTTTTCCCACCCTCTATGGATTTACAGGAAAAAGCATCTGGCAACACTGTACCGAACCCAGAGACCTAACGATAATTTTGAATTTGTACTACAAATTTTGTAGTAAGCTTTCATATGGCGCGTAAATATAAAATTTATTTCCGTTTTTCATGGATATTTCGTCAATTTTATCAAAACAGTTTTATTTTATAGTTAACACGCATATAATAAGTGTATGTAGAGAAGAATTATAAAAATCGGTCGACTATTGCTTTATGTTGGCGACTTAAGCGACATGAAATAATTGTATTTTAGTTCGGTTTTGGAGTGCGCTTTGCTCTATGAAATAGTAAATATAAGTGACTTTGCGGCCCAGGGGGGCAAGATCGAATTAACAGGGTAGAAATACACGGGTATTTATTGAAAATATATAAATATATGAAAATATTTAAAAGATGGAACGGAAAATCTAACATGTTGATATACAAACTAATATAAATTAATAAAAGAGTAAATAAATGATTTAAGGGATGAGTTAATATCAGATTTTCTTAATTGAGACCCTTAATCAAATTAAAAAATTAAAACAATATGCTAGCAATACTGTATGTCACTCTATATGTGGTAAGGAATATGGTGGATTGCTTGTTTTAAGTTGGTTTTGTGTTTTACCAATTCTACAAATAAATTTAATCATAATTAATCAAGGTGGTCAGGGCCGGATTAAGAGTTTTGAGGCCCTGGGGCCAACATTTGGTGGGGGCCCTCAATATTTCTAAAAATTTTGACACTTTATATGCAAAACTATAAAAACGTAGATAGTAGAATAGAATTGCGAATAAAAGTGTTTTTATATATTTTGAATAATACGAACATAACCTTATATATATTTTACTCAAGTGAAATATAAATTGATCTATGTTTTGTTTGTATTTTTAATACTTACCGCAAACTGAAAAAAAGTGCATCAAAAGTGGTATTATTTGTCTGTTTTTCATACAAAATCATCAACAATAAAACAATGTTTTGTCCAAAGAAAAGCACGAAACATTATTTCGGAAACACCGGAAAATATTCCACAACACTCCAATGTACCAATAAAATCTGGGACAAAAACTAACTTTTATATTAGATTATAAGTAATTTACTGTTTGCCTGTATTTACAAAAACGTTACGAAAAGCACTAAAGGAGCAACTGCTTAAAATTGTTTTGAGTCATAACTTATGACTATAGACTATATAAAAACGTCTTCGCGCGCCAAAACTTTGAGTGTGATAATTTACATCCTGATTTTCAAGCGGATAAGCGATACAAAATCCGCGAACAATTACAGGATTCGCGCGGTATAACCGACCCAATTTTTTGTTTTTCGCCATTTTTTTTTTAAATTTGTTTCATTGCATTGGTGGGGGCCCCTAAATGGTGGGGGCCCGGGGGCCGTGGCCCCGCTGGTCCCATGCTAAATCCGGCCCTGAAGGTGGTTGGTACGTTTTAACATTTATATTAACGTTAAGTTAGTACTCCAAATGATGTAATGTTTGGTAAACAAGAAACACAATATGGGAATTTTCAGTTATAACTAGAGGCCCATAGGCAGGCGTTGCACTATATTTTTATTGTTATTATTTATTAAGTAGGGGAGAGTTGGGTATTCGGGCCCGCCGGGTAATCAGGCCCAACGTATAATTATGTCTGTTGTTGGCGATATGTTTTTAGATAAGTAACTCTGTAGACTATTTAAAGTCTGTTTTATCGATAGTTAAAGTTGTCTTATTTTATTATTTATGGCGTTTCGATCTTATTAAACAGTTATATTTATACAGGAGAAAATTGATTCAAATATACAATTTTATTTCATCTTTCGCCTGCAAATCAATATTTAATACTTCTTTATATATATATATATCAAAATTATCATTTATAAAACGTTAGTAATATTTTTAATATTTTGTTTTTAGGAAAAATAGCCAAAATATAAGCAAAACTGCTTACCCTACTCTCCTAGGCATATTATAATATAAATAAATTATTTTTTTTACCAAAAACTAGAGATTTTATAAAAACCACCTCAAAAAATATTTATTTGTTTGTGCGATTACATTTCAAAATTTTAACGCAAAATGAACGCCAAGTCGACAAAAAAACACATATTTAGTTTAAATATGCGTTCGATTAACGTAAAAAAATATTTCAACCCAAACTTGACCATCAATTTTGGTGCGAATTTGCAATGTATTTAAATACAAAAGTGTTTATCTTCTAATAAATAATCTTTGATAAAAAATTTAAAAACCATAGTTTTTTAAATATTTGTGAAGTACAAAATGTTTTTATTATGTTAAATGTTTTTAATTGATTGTTCACAAAAACGTTTGTTTGTTTAGCTTAATAAATCATATTTGCTGTTATCAAGATAAGAGTGGCACCTTTTATAAGAACATTTGCAACAATAATTTGTTTTTAAGGTTAATTATTTCTCAATTATTTGTGTAACGTGCTAGGTGAATATTGTTTAAATTTAAATTTAGAGTTTTTAGGCAGCATACTATTTTTTTGTGGTTCAAATTTTTGGCACAGAATCAGTTATAAATAGTTGCATGTTGTGGATTGATTTTATTAAAGTTAGTAAAACTACAATTTAAATAGACTGTTTATCGAGCTGCAAAATTACTGTGAAATTAAACTTGCAATGGAAAATAAATATACAAGACGAAGGGTAAGTTATATATTTGCTTATTAGTAAAATATGATGTTTTTTAAAGATTGTAACGGTTTTAGGTAGAATTATCTAATACAACATTTTTCGAAAATATATAATTAATGTGTTAATTGTTATTTATGTACATGTACAAATATTAAAATTTGTAAAGATATAAATTTTATATAATATATATATATATATATATATATATATATATATATATATATGTGTTTGTCCATTGTGTATAGTCCTTCGGAGGGGACTTTAAGCCGTCGGTCCGTTCCTACCCCTAACCCGCACAAGCCATTCAGTTGGCTTATGGGACATCTTAGTTTGGATGTAAGGGTGGAACTAAAAGAGCACTTTATAACTTTATAACTTTATATATATCGTGTATATAAAATCCAAGCGAACGGTTCTTGTTTAGCCTGCAGCGTTGCCGGTTTTCACCAAGCCAACGTGTACGAATTGTCCAATAAGAACATCCAACTGTTTTGTTGCCAAGCGGCGATTACGCGACATAAATTTTCATATAATTCTTCGTTCGTTAAAACAGTAGGTACTTTTTGTTCGTTGTGCATTCCGTTTATATATACCTATATAAATATTAATTATTGTTCTTCCTTTAGTTCTCCAATATACGATATAACCAGAAAACTAATCCATTTAAGAAAATCGTAAAAACATACATGCTATGATTGCAATACTACTACTTAATTTACTGTAACTTTTCTTGTATAAATTGTTCCTTACCAAAATATTTTCTATAATATTGTATGCATGTATATGTTGGTATACTAAAAATATAGACCATGTCAGTGGCGGACTAAACCCCTAAAATGGGGCCCCTAGTCTGCTTATGAAATAAGGTGATTGTTTTGTAAATATTAATGTTTTGTTATTTTAAATTGGTTAGTAGATCCTAGCAAGTCCTTGGCAACACTCTTAATGTAATCAGGGATATGAAAATTGATTACAAGCTTTTTCCAGCAAAGTATACTTGTTAATAATTTAAATTTTAAAAATCAAGATTAGCTATTATTTAATGTAATTATAACCTTTTTTCTAATTCCTGATGGATTGCAGCTAGGGCCTATTTTATAATACTTGCCAAAACGCTTCCTACACAAAAATTATAAAACAAACATTACTCTCAGAAATGTTTTTAAAATGTTTATAAGACAGCTATAAATGTAAAATTGGCACCACTTTATAAAACATTTCAGTTTTGGTTAGTATTTTGTAAAAGCTTTTGGAAACATAACAAAATTATTTTATAAACATTGCGACAAGTCTTAGAAAAACTTTACAAAAGCATTATAAAACATTTTTGTTAAAGCTTTTTATACTGCGCTATAAAATATACTTTACAAAAGTATAAACATTTCTATAAAACAACTATATAACAATTTTAAAATAGCTTCATGACAACAATATAAAATAAAAATGCATATTGGAATTACAGTAACAAAATAAAAAGGTTTTTTAAAGATGTTCTGAATGCTGCAATTTTGATTTGTGCCAAGGGAAATTGAGGCCGAGCCCATTAGCAAAGAAGCCAATTTAATAATACCTTAAACACTATATCTATTATTTGGAAACTTTATTTGTGCTACAGGGATAGACATTTTTCATGCCAGGGAAATTTTATTGAGAAATATATAGCATATTTCTAACAAAATTTAAGTGCGCCCCGCATTTTCAAGTGTTTAGGACATTTTTTTAAATAACAAAAAAACTATCTTCCTCGATATGATAATTTTATACAGAAAAACTTAAACCGATTGGTTGTAGAGGTAACTAATAATAATTTTTATGTATTTTACCTACTGCAAGTATCATTATACGTGTGATATTTAGTATTTTAAATTCAACTTATTTCGATTCCTTGGGGTACACCCATTTTAAAATGGCGTTTTTCTATAAAATAATTTACTTTTAGGCGCAACCATTATAAAACAATTTAAATTACTAGGCAATCTTTATAAAATATTTTGTTTAGGCTAATGATACATATTGTCACAGGGTCAGAGTTAGTGAAATTTCTTTTCGCACTCGAATATTTTTAGAAAATAATTAATTTTTAAAATACTCTCAAACTTTTTTCTGTTTAAGGGCTTCAAAAATAGGCTTATCTCGAGAAAAAGTACCACTTTACTTCCGCTAAACTGTATTAACGAGCACTAAATATAATAAATTAGCCCTTTACTAAACAAATAACGCCGACAAATTTTATCAAAATTGAGTAAAGGATATTTAAGATATCTATATATATATATATATATATATATATATATATATATATATATATAGATAGAAAAAAAACGATTTTTAACACCCTCTGTATCTTGAAAACTAAGTACATTTCCTAACCCTTGTTTACATTGATTTTTTATCTTAAAACCATCTAAAGAATTAGCCTGATGAAGTTTGACCCTATACTTAATTAACACCCTGTAGAGTAGTTATAATTAACTCTCGAATTTACTTTTCTTGCTATAGCTCTTTTATAAAAGAGGTAACAAGTTATTAACGATTAAAGTTCGTCGATTTAAGTGTATTATTAATTGCACTGTGATACAAAATTAAGGTTTGCGACAGGGAATGGAATGAAACCAAATGCAAATGAAAGGATAAAGCTTCCACAACAAAACCCTACCAGGGCTTTTTTATATCACGTCTTAGTTGTTTATTATACCCATTTAAAGTTGGTATATTTTTGGATATTTTATAGTAGGATTTATACTGTAGGAAAAAGAGGGGTATATTTTTATGAAACTATATTAATTTTTCAAAATTATTTTGGCAATATGCTTGAATTCATTTTTGATATTAATTTTTGACATACAGTAGAATGCGCTGCATACAATTTTTGATAAAATATACCCTATAGGGTATTTCTATTTTTGAGGCTGAGAAATTAAATTTTGTCATCTGTTTTATTGTAAAAAAAATCCTATTACCTATACTGCCCTACTATGGAGAAAGGCAGTAACTGCTAAACAAGAAATTTGTGGAAAATTAGCATAAACTACATTTTTATAAAAAGCAGTAGGTATTTAATTGATTTTCTTAACTTATGAGATATTTGACTGCATTTCTGTGTTGAATTCGGTTACAAAATGTCCATAGCTTTACCATAGCACAAGAAAACGCTTTTTGCATTTTTTTGCAGTTACTGCCTTTCTCCATAGTAGGGCAGTATAGGTAATATTCCAAAGCAACTTTTATTATTTTTGATATATTAGTATGGAATTTTTTACAATAAAACGGATGACAAAATTTGTTTTCTTAGCCTCAAAAATAGAAAAAAAATTTTAACAATAAAAATACGTAAAAAGTATACTTTCTATAGCAAAAATTGTATGACACCGTGAGGGCTCGCACTCTACTGTAGGTCTTAGGTAAACATTAACATCAAAACACCATATTTTTAAAATAATTTTGAAAAATTAACATGGATTTATAAAACTTTACTTAATTTTTTGGTACTAGAGAGGATTCAAAAATCTACCAACTTTAAATATATATAATAAACAACTGAGACATGATCCAAAAAAAAACCTGATAGGGTTTTGTTGTAGAAGCTATTAAATTTCATTTGCTTTTGGTATCAAACCATTCCCTTTTGCACTGTGCTATTATAATACAATACTTTATAGCTATATAAGCGAGCATAAAATTATTTTTAAAAATTCGAAAAACGTTATAATACCGCCCTGTTCCCAAAATATTTAAAAAAACCGAAACATGGTGAAAAAAACTGTGTCTTGTTTAAAGTAATAAGAGAGCCTATATTGCTAAATGGCAACTTTTTTGCTACCTCGCGACTTTTTGGCGACTCTAATAAAACATATTTGTTGCCATTGATACATTTTAACACCACACGCGACTTTTATACAATCATTGCGGTGCCTATATTGCTAACTGGCAACTTTTTTGCTAACTCGCGACTTTTTGTCGACTCTAATAAAACAATAAAATGTTACTAGTACTGACACTTTTTGGCAACTCTAATAAAACATATTTGTTGCCATTTATACATTTTAATACCACACGCGATTTTTATACGGCCATTGCCGAGCAAATACAAGTGCCTATATAATATATATATAATATATATTACTAACTGGTAACTTTTTGCTAACTCCCGACTTTTTGGCGACTCTAATAAAACAGTAAAATGTTCCCAGATAACATTTATGAATCATTAAAAAATCACTCAGTGATAATCATCGCGTGAGCTCACAGTGAACTCACTATGACATCAAATGCATTTCTGTGAAATCACCTGGACCTCACCTGGAGCTCATTAGCTGAATCATTGCTGAGCTCATCCTGAGTTCTTGATGAGATCATTTGTGAAATTAATAAGTGTTGCCAAGTTTTGGGAATGGATTTATCTTACCAAGGCTTAAAAAATATCGTATTTTTAAATATATTTTTGTAATTAATTTATGAATTATACTTAGCACGTGCTAGGTATATATACATATATAAAAATTATAATCAGATGCAAGTTACTTTTTTAAATTTTATTAAAAACATGATTTAAATATTTTATATTTTATTTAAGAAAGTAAATATTTATTTTAATTAATTTTAGCATTTTTAGTCCTTTAGTAAAATCATTAATGAAATCCCTTTGATTTCATAATGAATTCATCGTGTGACTCATTAAGGATCTCACGTTGCTCATCAAAAGTGCAACACTTATGCGTACCTCAGTGACATCACTGAATGAATCAGCAATGATTTCACCTTGATGTCTTAAATGATGTCATAATTGTTATCTGGGTTACTAGTACTGAAATTTGTGAGGTCTGAAGCACTGTTGTTAAAATTGGTAGATTCCTGCTTTATGTTTAAATGATCCGTTTTATCCTTGTCGAAACTGGTATCCTTATTATCACTACTGATAATTTTTTCGTAACCTCTTTTTAATCTTCTTCGGAAGGCGCCACTTTTCTTATTTTTTTTCCACTGCGATAATTGCGACATTTTTATTTATGAAA